CTAAATAGCGTCGAATTAGCGTCGATCTGTTGCATCGAAACACTGTGACGCTAAATCGATGCTAATTAGCGTCGAAATATTAGCGTCGAATTAGCGTCGTATTTAGTTTCGACGCAAAATTAGCGTCGATTTAGCGTCGAAAGTTAATTAGCGTCGAGGGTTTAGCGTCGAAATCATTTTCGACGCTAAGGGCTTTTAGCGTCGAATTAGCGTCGAATTACGCTGACGCTAAATGTCTGTTTTCTTGTAGTGTTTACTAATGTGTTAAGAAGTCAAGAAATTTAGTGTTGAAATAGATTATAAGTTTTTCTTTTGTATCTATTTTCCTTATACATAAACTAATCTTAGATTTTCTATGTTCTGTCTTAATAGCACAAAGATAAGACGATAAGAAAGCAGCTATAGCTCAAGTGGAAGAAGAGAATGCAATTCTAGAGTTCATCGATTGCGCTTGGGAGCTTTTGGTTTGGTTGCGAGTCACCAAGATAACTATATATATTTTCGTTAATAATACAATTTTGTATACAACTATATATNTTTTCNTTTTTATTATTGGTTTNATAANTTTTAAATATAATTNGATTAATATTCATATTAATAATACAATTTTCTAATTATATATTTTTTACAAATACAATTTTCTAATTAATTTCATTAGTTTTACTACAAATATATTGTCATTAAGTGTGGCTTAGTTACTAAGGCATTATCACAAACCGTGGCTATTAACTACAACAATGTTGTAGACTTTTGTATCAATTTCCCACAAATTATTTGTAACGAGATTGTAGCAAGTTGGCTACGCAATATGTTGTAGCAATTTTAATTTAAATAGCTACAACAATATGTTAGTGACTTTTTGGGCAATTTCTACAATTTGCTACAAACAGGAAATTTGTTTCAAAGACATAGTCTCGAAAAATTAATTGTAGCGAATTTGTAGTAAATCGAATTTTATTATGAAAAAATGATATAGCTACAAAAAATAGTGTAGCTATATTGCTTAATTCTTGTAGTGATGTTAGTTAATCAATTATAGGTCACAAACATAATATAGGATCTAATTATATTGGCATTATATTGGAATTGCCATGGAATATTGAATGATACAGAAAATATAGTCAATTTGTTTATTATTAATTGATTTTGATAGAAATCCATTAAATTTGATAAGCTATAAAACTTTGAGTTTGGTCCAAAAATGGTTTAGAAAAAAATATTGTCAATATATACTAATATAGAGTTTTATTTTGGGTCCGAAAAGCCATTATTTTGAAATACCACATATGAAAATAAAAGGCATAATAATATAAGAAAGACATCG